ATTCCATAAAACAAATGTTTTTGGAGTCAAAAGCTTCTGTAAACAAACACAAAAGAGAAAACCTAGAAGAGGAAAAAAGTGTTATTATCCCTAACATACAAAGATCATAAAGAATTGTAAGGAAGGAGACACGTCAGGCTGATAACATTACTTCATGGGGATGGAAATTGGAGGTGGGTGGGGTGGGGCTGGAGCCCAAAGTAAAGGGAAAGTTTTCTGATACACCTTTAGGCTGTGTTCATGTCACAGTGGATACATATCACTATTGTTATAAAAATTGAAGAGGTGTAACATGTTAAAATGGAAGTTTCAGCATGGTGTCAAGATAGGATATGTATGAGTCAAAAGTGATGTAAAAAACAAACTGATACAGAACTTTTCAAGTAGATGCCTAAAAACTTAATAGACAGACCATGGACGATGGGTCAGAAAGCATGGCTGCAAGCTGGGGCTGTAGAGGCTGAAAAAGAGGTATTAATTTTAAATCAAGTTGGAGTTTTAATCATTATCTAGGATTAGGAAATTTTATAAGTGCATTGAGGTTATGTTGGTAATTTGAACTTTCTATCATTTACCAGTGACTGGAAGATATAGGGACCCTGGTGGGGAAATAATCCCACTAAGGAGGTGTGGTTTGAAAGGGTACAGAACATGGTCATTTGAATCTGCTGTCTAAGCGTAATTGACATAAGGCCACAGCATATGTTTCTTTAACTTACTTATTATTTGAAATCTTGGTGACAGCGAACAATATATGTTAAGTAATGGACTACTGTGGTCATGACCTGTAGTCTATTCCTGAGAATTGTTTGACTTTTTTCCAAAGGAAATACCCAAGTAGACAATAACTGAGCTCTGACACCCAGATTTTTTAGCGAGTCAGACTTCGCTGAGCTCCCCATCTGTGCTGGGGCGGCCCCTCCCTCCCTAAGGAGAACCCGCTTCACAGGCCGACACCAACCCCCCCCCAGCTCCCTGCGAGATGCCTTTTGTTGACCGGTGCTTCTGAGTCCTCGGTATCCAATTTAGGGGGATTGAAATCCTCTGTTCTCTTGTGTCTTGACAGAACTTATTTCAAACAGCATTATGGTTGGCAAATGCCAGTGAAAATAATAAATGATTGATTACATCAATTAAGTTTGATACATTTGTGATGAGTTAAGTTTATTTGCTCACCCTTGATTTCATGCTAGTGTTACTCCTTCTTTCCCTGCATGTCAGGGTGCTGGGTCCCCCTGGTTAGTAACAGGAGCTTCCCGTGGGTCTCGTCCATCAGCTAACGGTCAGGAGCCTGCTTGGGGCCAATACTCTGTAGGGACATTCCTTTTTGTACTCAGACCATGAGATATTAGGGTTCCTGGTTCTATGAGAGGGAGGAAATTTGTAGGGGTGGAGGGAGGCATCTATATTGACCTTTAATTCTTTTCTGTGACAGTCACACCATCTTCCATATCTTCACCCATTTAAAAATAACTTTCCCAGACAAAATGGGCATCATTTATCCATTCCTTTTTTAAAAATGTAGATTATATTTTTCTGATTATGGTTTATATTTACTAAGTATTAAACTCTGAGACACAAAAATATAAAAATATTTTACGTTTGTCCACATAACAACCATTTCTGGTGCCCTTCATTCCCTCACATAGATCCACATTTCCATCTGTTGTCATTTGCCTTCTGCCAGAAGAACTTCCTTTAATATGTGTTATAGTGCATGTCTGTTGACAGTGAATTCCCTCACTTTCGTTGTCTGGAAAAGTCTTCATTTCACCTTTATTTTTGAAAAGTATTTTTGCTGGTGGAGAATTCTAGATCGAGGTGTTTTTCCCTTGCTTCCCTTCATGATATTGAAGACGGTTTCTTCAGCACATGCTGGGTTGCACGGTGTCTGGCCGGAAGCCTGCCATCATTCTGATGGTCCTTCCTCTTATCCCTTTTTGTTCTCCAGCAATTTTTGAGTTTTTCTCTTTCTTACTACTTTTCAACAATCTATTATGATGTGACATGATGTGATTTTCTTTGATTTGTTTTGCTTGGGTTTCTTGGAATTTTTTACACCTGTATGCTTATAATTTTCATAAAATTTGGAAAATTTTCAACATTTTTTTTCTTCAAATGATTACTGCCCCTCCGTTCCTTATGGGGCCCCAGTTACACATGTGTTATACTACTCATAGTCTCTGATAGTCATATTGAGTGTCTTTTTTTCCCCAGTTTTTTTTCTCCACATCCTCGCCAGCACTTATTATCTCTTGTCTTTTTGATAACAGTCATTCCAACAGGTGTGAATGATCTAACCTCTAAGTTGATCCGAGTCAGGGGACAGTCAGACAGCAAGGGGGCGAGGAGATGACTGTGAGTGACAGCTCTGCCTGTCCAAAGTGCTGGGGGAGGATCCTTTCAGGGGGTCCTCTTGTTCAGTACTTGAGCATGAGGTGTGTTTCGGACTGCACTGTGGCAGATGGCAGCAGTGGCCCTGAGTGAGGGAATCAGCTCTGGTTTTACTGCTGTCACCGTCACTGTAAATGTCCTCTTGGCTTCAGTATGTCAAGGGCTTTGAGAAATAGGGACGCAGCCTGCCACACGCGGCTGCCTTGGCTGCGGCGGTGAGAAGAGACGTGGGAAGGTCAGCAGTGGCTCCTCCCCCTGTTGTCAGCATTCATTTGAAAGGGGCAACTGCTGAGCAACGTTCAAAGCCAAGATTAAAGGAGCTAAGTGAATGTTTTGGAGGGCGGCTTGAGGTTTTTTTTGAAAAGGGTTGGTGAATTTATTACTTCATGAAATGCAGATCTATAGTAAATGTCTAAAATACCAGCTATGGGGAGAGAGTATTTTATAATGTCTTTGCCAGAGAGAACCAGGAAGATTTCGGCTTCCATTATTCAGAATGGAAAAGTGAGACTTGAAAGATGTATCATGTATTTTCTTGAGTAAAAATTTAATAGTAGGAATACTCATTTTCTTGGTTACAATGTATCTCTATTAGATATGGTTAACCTCTTTGAAAAATAAATGTCAATTTAATGATACCAGTATAGAAACAATTGTGTAAGTTATTTATTGCTGTGAAACAAATTATTCCCAAAGCTAGCTGCTTAAAAAAAAAAAGCAAATATTCATTACCTCATGCAGTTTCTGAGAAGTAGGCATCTGGGAGAGGCTTATTTGGGAGGTCATCTGTTATGAGGTCACCATCAGGACGTTGACCAGGACTGCAGTCACCTGAGGCCACGTGGAGACAGCAGGTCTGCTTCCAAGATGGCTCAGCTCACATGACAGAGGTCTCAGCTCGCTGATGGTAGCTGGCAAGCGCTCCACTCCTTACTGCATGACGCTCTCTGGGACTGCTGGGGTGTGTGCACTCCTGGCTCGGCAGCGGGCTCCCAAGAGCAAGTGACACAGCGGAGAGAGAGGGCGCGGAGGAGACCGCAATGCTTTGTACGATTTAGTCTCCCACTTCAGACTGTCACTTCTGCCGCACTCTACTCCTAGAAGCCAGCACTCACGGGGAGGTGAATTTAGCTCCACCTTTTTAAAGGAGGAGTGTCAAAGAATTTACAGACATATTTGTAAAACACTACAAATTAAGTCACATGAATTTGAAGAGGTCTCAGTATTATAATTCAGTGACAGGATTATTATAAAATCAATGACAGCATTGCAAGGAAGCGTAACTTTGTTAAGCAGCCCCTCCATTTACATTAACGTCTGTAGAAACGGTGCCAATAATAACGAATACCGGCTGAGTGCTGCTCGGACCCAGGGGGTGCTTAGCCCGGCATATCGTCTGTTCCATCCTCAGCACCATTCTGGGAGCTAGCTCCTCCTATTACCAAATCTTATCAAAAGTGAAATGCCATGAATTGGAACATGCATCCTTGTTTTATGTATCATTAAGAATGAAAAAGATGCCAGTTAGACCACACAATGCCTTCTTATTACAACATGCGCTTTCCACTTCTAGGTTCTAGGCTTATTTAGGTATTTTTGTTTCTTGTCCTTTATCACTCGTGGGCACACATAAGTGGAATCAGTTGGTGACCCTGAAACTTTTTCATGTTCGGAGTCCAGTTCTGAATCACTGGCAGAGCTGCTCCTGCCGGGGGACCCAGCCTGCCCTTGGGCGCCGGGCGCCAGGTGGCCGGTGGGATCAGGAGGCGGCGGCTGTCACTCCGGCTGGAAGTGTGGTCATCGTCTGGAGTTCTGGAGTTCTCGGAATCATACTGGAAGGCAAAATACCGGCTCAGGACCACTTTATTTCAAATATGTGTAGGATCGTAAGTTGTATTTCCCATTTCCCATTCAGACACGTATTTAGGAATTTAAGGCTCTCAACCGTAGCTTCTTCTGAGTCTTCAATCCTATGTAAGAAGCTTGTACCTTGTCCCATGTTAGATAAAATCAAGCTTTCAGTTAATCTGTTCTGATTTATTCAACAGGTTATCATCAAATTGTTTCCTAAGACTTTATTAACAAATGCATAAAATTTTATTTGACACTCCATGCTTGTTGCTTGTCTCATTGAGGGCTTTTTCTTCCTAATCAGCTACATTGTCTTTGCTTCCAACCCATGTAAGGGAGCTTCTCTTCTGCTTCTGTGATTTTGCTTTAAAAAAGAGAAGTCCTGAATATCTTTGCATTTAGTATGGTGTCTTCACGGTGGGCATTTCCCCAGTATATCTTTTTTGGCTAATCTCGTTATTCTATTCTTAGGGAGAGGATAGAGCAGGGAATTAACACCTCCCAACATCACATTACAGATGACTATTTAATGATTTTGTCTGACCAGCCAATAGGCCTGTGCAGCCTCTCATTTCTCCAAATTTTGCTATTTTCAAAACTAATCAAATTCAATGACAGCTACTACAAGATGTGAAATGTTGTGATCTTTGAGAAGAGAAATGAAAAATTTCACGCAAATAGAGAAGTTTCTCCTTGTGAAAGTGTTTTCACCATTTAGCTCCAGTGATTATAGCTCTTTATTTTCATTTCCTCAGCAATTACAGCCCTTTGCATGTGCAGTGATTCACTCCCCACTGAATCGTGAAGGAATAGAAAGCAAAACTGAAAAGAATGAGGATAAAATTCTCAAAACGATAAGCCACCACGCTCCTGTCATGCTGCTCAGCGCAGAAGGAAATTCACTGCTCCTCCGCAGATGATCATGGGCAGCAGGAAATGGGAAATCAAGGCCGCTCTGTTTTCCCGGAGCAAATCCCGACAGCGGTACTGAGCACAGGAAGCGAGGGCAGCAGAGCCGCAAAGCCAGCCAGGCTCCCTGAGACGATCGCCATGCTTCAAGCCGCGGAGCTGGTGCAGAATTACCAGGTGCCTCGGGCTCCCTTCCAAGGAGAAGCTTCTGGCAGGAAGGTGGAAAGCAAGAAAGCTGGTGCCATCAGGGTGGCCATGTGGCGGAAGGGGAGGAGCACAGACTTTGAGGACAGACGGAGCTGGTTAGGGTTTTTACCTCAGTCATCTTCCATATATTCGAGGTACAACACGCTTCTCAAAAGTTACACTGTGTGCAAGTCACCTGGAGAACCTGGTAAAATGCAGATTCGGACTCAGTAGGTTTGGGGGTGGGGGGGACTCAAAACGTCACATTTCTAATAAGCTCCTAAAAATACCAGTGCTGCAGAACTGTGACCCGCACCTTGAGAAACAAGGGGCTTGAGCAAGCTGCTTTGTTTCTGAGTGTCGTTTACCCCCTCTGAAATTTAGAGAGATAGTATCTAATTACATAATTGGAGCTTTGATTATAAATAATGTATGTAAAGAATCTAGCACAGTGCTTGGCACATCATAGGTGTCCAGTAAGTGGTACTTGTGTTGAATCTTCCCCCATTCAATCCACTTCAAATGTTTTGCCAGTTTAAGCAAATGGTAGACAGACCAGGATGCTTCTGTTAGGTGTGATGACAACATTTGCCTGTCTAAACATACATTTGGAATGGTATGTGCATTTTCATGTACATTGCTGGGTTCATTTTTTTAATGAGCGACTGTTCAGCTGCTGAAAATTTCCGGGTCCCCTTTCTCCCCTTGACTGATACAGTAGTATAATGCAATATAGTCAGAGAAAAAAGTGTGAAACGAACAAAAGATAGCATTTTAACAACTAATACAACCTTAGGCACTTTTAAAAGGAAGAAATAAAACTGGCTAGGATTTTAGATATGTTGTTCAAATAACTTGATGTACACAATGTTAAAGAAGCTTGCCTGCGGTCAAAGTGCTGCTGACATGCTGAGAATAAAGACCCAGTGAAGCCACGGAAGGGTCTGTGGGTCTCAAGTCTGTTTTCCCCTGTTACAAAAACTCTTCGTATCTCTTTTACATTTCAACAGTCTAAGGTTTTACCACTTGGCGTAATTTCTTTGGTAACTGTTTCTACAAAGTTAGGCTTTTGACATAATTAGGAGCTCTATTCTGGTGACAGCACAGGCATCCTGCAATTACCCGCTGCATTCGATGGTAATTACCTACACTGCCTTTTTCCCCTGTGGCGGAGCAGGCCTGCCCCATTGTGATACGGTGGTAAGTGTGGGAAACGCTTTCTTGTGAGGACTGGCTGTGCCGAGGCCTGCTACCTTTCTCTGTAGGGTATAGAAGATTGATACAAAGTGCCTAGATTACGCCATCATTTCCCTTTCTGTGTACATCCTGCCAGTGGCTTTAACTTGAGTTGGTTTTGTGAGCCGATGAGAATTTTAGCCAAAGAAGACACATGGTCAAGTGATAAGATGTTCTGTATGTAAAAACATCTGAGTTGTATTTTGTTTCCTTGAGTAAGGCTTTGAAAACTATATGACAGTAAGTTAAACTGATTTTCCAGAAACAACATCTCTTAAAAATCTAACTAGCTAGGGCAACTTTTCTTCACAGATAATCTGAAAGTAGAATCAATCACATTTTTAATTAATATGACACAGTACTCCTTTCCTAAAAAGTTCAAAGGAATTTTGTATAAATGAGATGATTTCCCTTCAGAACATATTTAGAATATAAGTAGGAAAATGCCACTGTGATCTCATTAGAATATATAAAAGAGGGAAAACATGTCTCCAGGAAGTGATTCCAGACTAGATTCTGGGGCGTTTGTGTCCTGGGGCCTCCAGTTGTCTCACTCTCTTATCAGTGAGGGATGTGCTGTAGCTAAACGTTTGGTTTCCTCAGGAGACATCACCTCCCTTGGTCCTGTGTGATCGTTGAGAAGTTAAATTAACCAAAAACTATTGAATAAGCATCTGCTACACACGAGGCATCATGATTGGTGTTGAGTAAAAATAGGCATGCGGGAAACCACCATGGATGGTTCTGGTCTTCACGGAACGCATGCTCTTACAGGGCAGCAGGTGCCAGACGGCAGGGATTTGGAGCTCAGAGTCCAGGCTGGGCTGAAGACCTCGGTTCTGGGGCTGACACAAACAGTAATGGAAGGTCTGGGAATGAATAAGGTGGGCTGGAGCAGCAGTCGTCAACCCTTAGTCTTGCTTCAGAATAATTCAGGGAGCTTCCCAAAGTTCTGAAGCTTAGGCTCCTATCCTAGACCAGGAGCTGAGACTGTCTCCTGGCGGGGGGCCATGCTGGTATTTTTAAAAGCCCCCCAGGGGATCCTGTACAGCCAGAACTGAGAACTGGTCTAGAGAGGAGGGGGAAAGACAGATAAAAAAAGTTACAGAAAGCCTAATCCTAGCTGTTACTGAGATTAAAAAAAAAACTACTTTTTAAAGGGAGTTGACATCCACGTTCTTAAGTGTTGAGGAAAATAATTTTGTCTGTAGGATAAAGGAAGGGTTCTACTCCGTCCTCACTTCCCCATTGCATGTGTAGATAATTTGGAACCTTGACCCTCTTCCTCAAGCGTCACGATGACAGAGCAGCCTCGTAGGGTCCCGGAGTCTGCACAGTTTGACCGGCACTGGGTATTTCTGAAGTTGGATCAGTGTAAGGGTCAAAATAGCCCTGGAAACATCCCAAGAAAAAAAGTTGTCACCATGTATGGTGACAGATGTTAAGAAGACTTATTGTGGTGATCATTTCACAATATATACCAATATTGAATCATTCTGTTGTGCACCTGAAACTAATACAGTGTTATATGCCAGTTAAACCTCAATAAAAAAGTCGCCCTGGAAAGACATTACTGTGCTTGTCGGTTTCTGCACTTCTGCGAGAACTCATTTGGACTTGCACCTGTCTGATCATAGCATTTACTTTTCCCTGGTGTGTTCCCTCCCGCTTCACATTTCAGATTTTATACCAATTCACAGAAGACTTTGCTAGTTTTTTATTTTTGGATTAATAGGTATTATTACCTATGTGCAAAATCCACAGCAGGATGTAATTCTTATCTGAATTTAAAGAACTCCACGTTCAACTTGAAGAATGTCTTTTATTCTGAGTGTTTGCTACTATAATAAGCCCAGGAAGTGCAGAGGGAAAGACGAAAGGAGCGAGCATCTGACTCCCTCTCTCAAGGAGCCTGCAGTATGGATTGAACAGCAAATATGTGCCGCACGTCAGAGCAGATGGTGTGGAAGAGCCACAGGTGTGTGAAGGAGGCATTTCCCCCTGTGCTGCGGAAGCCACTCAGTTTAGGGGGGCAGAGATGACGTGCCTACCTTTTACTTCGAGCATGACAGGGCCGTGAAGCCCCGTTTCATCTCCTCCAGCAGTCTGCCTCCCCGCCTCCTCTGTGCCCACTCTGCCGGCCAGTAATGAAGGACTGCGTCTGGCCCTCCGCACCCTCCAAGCCGTTCCGTCCAAGGCAGAGGGGTTCTGTCCCTTGGAGTGCTACCTCACAGATGTCACAGAGCGTCATGTAAACCCATTCTAGTATTTATCTTTTCTTCTAAGTCACTCCCTTCCACAACAGGTCTTGGCCTCTTTCTGACTAAACACAAAGAGCAGCTTTGCTTTGGAATGTGAGTGGTCGACCTCCAAGATGGTCAGGCAGACTGCAGGGCAGACCGCAGCCCTGAAGGACGACTGACCTGGCATTCACTGGGCCGGGCAGGAGAGCCCAGGGAAAGCTGTTCACCCCCACCGCCTCGTCTGCCTCACCAGCATCGTGCCCAGCGCTTTATATACGCTGTGCCGTCAAATCCTCTCATAATTCCTTGAAAGAGTTCTCTTATGAAGCCCGCCTTCAACATGAGCAACACACCGATCGTGAAGCAAAGCTCCCATAACTTCTTTATGGCAGAGCGTGGATTCCAACCCAAGTCTGACTCCAGAGCCCGTCATCATCTACAGTCACCAGTATGTGTCAAGTCAATTTCCAGAGCTGTAGGTGGGGTACAGGGAACAGGATCCGTGGCTGGGATTTGTGTTGCAAAATCCAGCAGATGGGGGCCGACAACTCTGAACAATTTGAGCTTGTCTGTCTTCTATTTTAACACAAAATTTTTCCTCTTACAAACTAAGAACTTCTTTTTAAATTATCCTTTCACTCAAACATTTGAGAAAAAAGCAGGACAGACACATGCGACCTTATGGCACAGCACTTGCAAACAGGGAGGACTTGGGCACTGAGGGTTACCTGGGCCCCAGGAAGATGATGACAGTTTTCAAAAAATAATGACACTTGTCTCTAAGCATAAATAAAAAATGGTAAAAAGAGTTTTCCTAAATAATTATCTTTATGATTATTTTAAGGAACCAACTTGTAAGAAAATTGCCTTTGCAATAATCAATATTTTACCGCTCTTCAAATCTTGAACATTTCTGTGACAATTTTAGCTTGCTGAGTTTGCGTAAACACTAAACCAAATACGGTCATCTTTTTTGGCGGTAACGAGAATATGTCATCATCAATAAATATAGCCTAGTAAAGTTGCAAAATGTCAGGACGTATTAGGCATTAGGTGTGAGGTAGACAGAAATGAGTTGGGTCACCCCAGCCTCTGCAGTCATGGCTAGTCAGTCAGTGCATTGAGTCGCACGAGAACACCTCCAGGGTAGACTGCATCCTTGCGTGGCCGTCTCTGTTGTAAGGGTTTAGTATAGGGAAATGAAGGAAAAAAGAGTCACTGATCATTTTTCTCTGGTTATGACCCAGTTGTATATGCCCGTGGTAACTCAGCAGTTCTTCTAGACCTTTGCGAAGCATATTCTGTAACTTGCAAGGACTCCCTGGAGGTTTTATTTTTCCTGCCAAACCTGGAGGAACTTGTGTGTTGCTCTTTTCTGTTCTGTAACTTAGAATTCCAGAATAATATTTTGAGAAAAAAGAAATCTACAGTAAGAAAACTCTGAAACCCACTGAGACAGATCATACTTTCCCAGATTATTCCAGTAATTCATATAGAACACATTTAAAAAAATGTTTGCCATACACAGATGTCAGTAGTCATTTCCCATTTACCTAGACAATTCATTGTTTTGTCATAAAGAGATTATTATTGTCCCCCAAATTAAATATTATGGATTATATGAAAGATGTAAAGTGGTTCCTGTTCTTAGGAGTATACATACCCAAAGGGACAATCTGAATAATAAATTTTGCTCTAATATATGCTTCTAAAACAAGAGTCAGTAAAATTCTTTTGTAAAGGACTAGACAGTAAATGCTGTAGGCTTCATGGATCATATGCTCTCAAGACTATTCAACTCTGCTGTAGGTGTAGGAAAAAAAAGTGGTCACTAGACAACAGTAAGCAAACAGGCATGGCCAGAATTGGTCAGCAGGTTGTAGCTTGTCATTATTCTCTTCTAAAAGGTCAATGTCCATGAATATGTAGAGAGTAGAGTAGAAACAAGCTATCTTTGCTGATTATACCTTTTTATAGAAACGTTAGAAGACAGATATTAATGATTACACTTAGAATTTTAGAGAACAGTTTGCTCTTAATATCTGATTCCCTTGTGATTTTAGGTCATATGCCTTTAAGATTTCAAAGATGTCTTTCATGTCTGTATAATACTTTTCATACTAATTATACATTCGAGCACTTAAAATGTATTTTTGCAATGCGTGTTCACTTTCATTCTTAGTCTGACTGGTGAAGATTCATCTGCACTGATGTTATACCCCTGCTGTGCTTGAGACATTAAGAAACTTTATATTTTTCTCGTCACCAGCAAAACGATTTGGATTCCAAAGAGTAGTTCTAATAATTCAGATCAAATGTACTTTGATTATTTTAGTGTCTTTAATTTAATATGGTAGACAGAGAAGTGGTGATGTCCAGTTTTTTTCCTTTTGTATGTTTACAAGGCCAACGGAAAATCATTTTTCTCTCCAGTGTTTTATTTACTCTTATATTTATTTCCTGTGACTTTAAGTATTTTCCACAAGTAGCTGCAACATCTCAAAAGCACGTTAAAATGACCTTAGTAGAGGATTTAAAAGCTCATCTATGATTATAGAAGCTAAAATCCTACTTCTTTGTAAATGTCAGAATTACTGGGAAAAAGTTGACCAAGGAGCAAACTTGCCGATTAGTGTTTCAGTTAAAAGGCGTTAGGCAGTGCTTGGAATATTAAAGAATATTTGTGCTTACAACACTTGACAATTACCCTATGTCCCCTTTCATAATATCATCAGCTTCCAGTAGAGCTATTTCATGCACCAATAAATAAATGTACACGCTGTAGTCCTCCTCAGGGACAGTAACAAGCGCCCGGGGCACCATGTTTTTACTAAGGGCCACTCTGAGCAAGATTCTGACATGCTCACATATCTCTGCTCGAGATCAGACAGCCTCAGACTGCAGACCGGGAGCTGCACAGCTCGAGGTGGGCTTTGTTTGGCTTGTGCAGTGTTTTGTAAATTTGTTATGACCTAAAATCAGATGATCTAAAAAACAGGTAAGTCTGGCACAGAAGACATATTTCTGCATGGCTTCAGTGGGGTGGAGGTAGTTTCTGTTCCATTTAGGCGGCACGTGTTCTCAGTCCCTGTCATTCACAGGGCATGGCTTTGCTCCACTCACAGGCAGCCCAGCAAGTCTCCACCCGACCCTGCGGGTCTGCACGTTTTCAGCCTCTCTTCCAGGTCCAAACCCGAGATGACCTGGTTATTTCCATGTAAGCTGCAGACATGTCCTGCCAGGCGGTCCTCAGGATCCACTCATGTCACTTTTGTTGGGTGCCAGCAGTAGGCCTGCACCGTAGACGTGCCATACTTGCCTGGAAGACAAGCATCGTCATTGCAGTCTGGTCACAGAGGCAAATCGAGGTGCCCGGGGTAAAGCAGCTGGTCCGAGGGCCCCGGAGGGTGCGTGGAGTTGCCCGCCCAGGCCTGCGGCCGCAGTAGTAATAATCTAGGCCACAGTGGAGAGTGACTTCTGTTTTCCAGAGACCTACCTTCTCCAGTTCAAATTACTGCAAACTATGCAAATTGTCTAACACTGATTCTGTATGAAATGTTTATAGAATCAGCTTTTATTCTAATCAAATTAACGTATTCACATAGTCTGAAGATAAAATGTCCAGTCCACACTCTTCTGTGGAAGCGGCCTTCCATGTTTGTCTGCATGGGTCCCAGCCAGCGGCGCTCCTTCCTCATGGCTGAGGCCTCTCTGGGCCTCACCGCCCTTTCCTTCTTCCTGGTTTCCTAATATAATTATGTCACATTCCTATAATGACAATGTTGACCTTGTTAGGGCAAAAGTATTGCTCTGAATTTAATAACTTCATACTGTACCGTGATCACATTCTCATTCTCTTAAAATATTCCCTCCCCATCCCCCCCGAGGTGACAGTGCCTAGAATCCATTTGCTCAGTTTTCTATTTGGTTCTTTTTCTAATGCTCCACCAAATCTTTACACATTTATGCGCTTCTTTTCAAATGCTCAAACACACCGAATAACGTGTCCTTCCCACTCACCCCAGCCCCGTGCCTGGAGCCGCGCACCTGCCGCTCTGCTGTCCCGTGCCGAGTTCCCAGACTGGGCCTTCTCCTCCCGCCCCACCCTTCTGTTTTGCGTCTCTGCCTTGGGCCCTGTGTCCCCACCTTCCTTGATTCATTCCCTCTTTCGGTTGAAGCCCATCTCTTTACAGCTTCCTCAAAAAGTATG